CGGTGGAGAAATCCTTTAAAAATAGAGTTCAAGATATTTGGATCATGATTTGAGTGTGGCTTAATTTGAATGTTAGTGATAGCATCTTTCCAATATACTCCGTATTCATACTTTCCTGTTTTTTTATTCATAATTTGTATATCCAGATAGTTTAGTGTTCCTAACTCGTTTTCAACTTCAATTGTTTACTGTATGGAAGGATGTTGTTGATTTAAAATGTATTGGAAATGTTTTGCTTGGTTGAGATCTGGAAACCTTGCGTGACTATCATCGACATATCCTAAGAACGATTTGAGGTTAAGTGGAGGGTTGAAATTTAGTGCATCTTTAATTGCATTGTTTTCATCGAATTGTAGAAATGATTCTGCAAGAACGACCATGAACGAAAGTCCAATTGGACCCGAGTTTTCCATTATATGAATTTCATTGTTCCAATGAAAATAATTTTTCATTGGAACAATAAAATTATTTTTTGTAACTCGCTTTTATATTTTTATTAACTTTAATTCACGAATACTATATAGTTGAAGTAAAAAATAAAGTTTACAAATTTATTTAAATAAAATGAGTGGTATAAAAACAAGAAAAAAGACAAGCACAGCAATTTCTGACTTAATAGGTATATAATTTTTAAAAACCTAATTGCTTTATTTTGAAATTATTTATAATAATTTTTTTAATATATTATTTTTAAAATAATACAATTATTAAGTCATGAATAATACATTTTCTCCTAAAAAATTTGATCAACAATAACATTGCTAATGAAAACAATAACATTGAGAAATATTATTTTTTAAATATTATGATCTAATTTAAAATTAATATTAATTGTTTGATACTAATAATAGAATTAGAATTTATTCACTCACAGAGAAGTAAAGAAGGAGAGCAGTCTCAAATTATGATAGGATCAAAAGACTACATAGAGACTAAAAGGAAGCGAAAGGTATTTGAGATGTAGTAAGAAGGAACAGAGTTTAAAAAAGTTCAAAAAAAAGAGATGATGAATAGTAGCCATTCAAAAAGAACCTATGCTGAGGTTTCAGAAAAAAGTAATGATGAAGAAGAGTGCTCTAAAAATGAGTTTGAATGTTCAAGTTACACTGAAAATATTGATTTATTAAACAAAAGTGATGATTTCAAACTAAAGCGAAGTTATATGAAGATTCAAAATACTGCTATTGCTGCAATAAGATATGAAGTTTCAAACACTGCTGCAGCTGCAATAGCCTCAGGATTTTTAAAAGATTTGGTAGAAGCTAAAGTTTTTCCAGAATCAGCTCTTTTTTTATTACTGGACAAAAACAAAGTGCATAGAGCCAAAGATAAAGTTATGTCAGAATGTCAGGTTTTTGCAGAGAATAGATTAGATTCTGAGAATGTTTCTTGCATTCTCTTTGATGGAAGAAGTGACAAAACCAATTTAATGACATTTAATGAAGAAACCAAAAAGTTTTATCCTTTAATTAAAAAGGAAGATCACTATACTTTGACTGATGAATATGGTAGATATCTTCATCATTTTACGAAAGGAGAAATGTGTGAAAAATCAAAAATTAAGCCTGCTGAACATATAGAAAATCAAATATTTCAATGGTCTAATTTGCATTGTGTTGAACATAGCTTATAGTTCATTGGTTGGGATAGCACAGCTACAAATACAGGCCATAATGGAGCTGTTATTCATTGTTTAGAAATTAAATTAGAAAGAAAATTAGGGTGGCTTATATGCTCTCTTCACACAAACGAACTTTGTTTTCGGCATTTAGTAAAAGAGCTTGATGGGAAGACAACCTCAAAGACAGGGTTTTCTGGACCAATTGGTAAGTTGCTTTTCAAGGTTACTGAAATGGAAAGAAGTTACAATTTCAACCCAATACTTGTAGGTCCTGGTTTAATTGAACTTGATGAGGAAATAATAAAGGAGTTGTCTTCAGATCAGAAATATGCTTATAAAATATGCCAGACAGTAATTTCAGGAACTCTTACTGAAGATTTGGCAAACCAAAAACCAGGCACTATAGTTCATTCAAAATGGCTCAATACAGGCTCTTCCTTACTTTTATTGTGGATAAGCAAGCATGGATTAGAGGGAGATGTCCTAAGAAACTTAGAACTAATTGTTAAGTTTCTTGTATCAGTATACTTCCCTATGTGGTTCCAAATCAAAGTGAAACATAGCTGGATAGAAGAGCCACGGCACATCTTGAACCAACTTAACCTTATCAAACTTCAAGAAAAAAGTGTACAAAAAGTTATTGAAAAATATGTGAGATCATCAGCATGGAATTCTCATTCTGAAATCTTATTGCAGACATTACTTTGCAGCTAAAATAAAATTGAAAGGGAATTTGCTGTAAACAAAATTTTAGAAATTAGAAAATATGAGGAAACAGGAACTCTAGCTCCTAGAACATATAAGCTTCCTCATTTAAACCTCTGTGCAACCAAATTGATTGAGTTAATAACATGGGAAGAGACCTATGAAGAGACCTATCTTAACCTGTCAAATGAACATAAATGAGCTAAAAAAAATCCTGGATTGTCCTATGGTAGTTCCATATTTCCCTGTTCACACACAAGGAGTTGAGAAGGCAGTTAAGGAGGTAAAATTAACTTTCCCTAACCTTAATAATATATTAGTTGTTTATAATGAAAAAAAAAATTTACTTCTTTAAAAATACTTTTAAAAAAGAGTTTATTTTATTTAGGTAACTGCAGCTTCTGAAACAGTGTTTGGTTTTGAGAGACGAAATGGATTTATTCGTGCAAGAGCAGAAAATAGATCGATAATACCTCGTTTTAACAGCAAGAAGGACCTCATTAAATTTTAGCATTCTTTTTCAGTACCTCTAGTAGAGTTATAAAGATTGAAAAATGAGTTTAATTTTTGCTTTTTAACTAATATAACCCTCATATATTAAGTAAGCATTTATAAAACCACTTACACTTACATAAGGGGTTGGGAGGGTAAGGTTGTTGAAGGAAGGAGCGCTTGAGAACCACTCTAAATATTTTAAAACTGTTCTATATTTACTGACATTATTGAAATAAGTTTTGAAAGTTTTTTTACCATCGATATAGGATAATCTTAGACATAATATGATTTTGGTCCCCCTCCCCATTTGAGTTAATTTTTGAAAACTTAAGGTCGATTTTTGCAAATGTTGCCTTTACTCTAATAAATTTATTTATGTCTTTCTTTAATGTATATATCTAATAGCAAAATAATCATAAGGGCCGAGTTTTTTAAACAAACTTGAAAAGTACGGGATGCCCTAATATATATATATATATATATATATATATATATATATATATATATATATATATATATATATATATATATATATATGTATCCATAAGTGATAATTTTTAAATAGATTAAAAAATTTAGTCTGTTAACAGACTTAATTTAGTCTGACTTATTATGTTTTATTAATTTTGATAATATTTTATACATATGAGTCGTATTAAAACTAAGTACTATTTCTAACTAAGAAATAAATATTCAAAATATTTGAGCTTTTTATTAAAATCGTCAACTTAAAACAAAATAAAACATTGACAAAAAAAAAGCTGAATAAATTGATTTTATCCTGAGATTTATGTACTTTATATACATTTTGATATAAAATCTAAAAGTTTTAAATTAGTCGCAATAAAATAGGCTAAAAAGTATAACTTTATTAAAATATTTTTTATACCATATGCATGCATTCTATCAAGTTTTCCTTGCCTTTTTTATTACGGCAAATTATTTTTGTAATGGCTAGTTATTGAGACAATAATTTTTAACTAGCAGGAAGCAACCCGTAATACGCGTTGTTAGTAAATAAAATTAAAAAAAAACCGCGTATAGAAAAGCCAAGAAACTACTTTAAAATAGAAAAGCCTAGAAAATGACGTAACTCGACTAATAACATTATTAAATTAGCGTATTCATATTATCAGATGTGCCATTTCCTCAACATTGTCAAAACAACGTTTTATTAACGTTGGCAAAGTAACACTTTTTCAACGTTTTTTAATTACCACATTTTCAACGTTGCACAGTGGGCCAAAATCATTATTAGCTGGACAAAATTAATAACTTTTAAAATATTTATCAGGTTTTTCCCATAAATAGCAGCTTGAGTATATTTCATATAACAAATCTAATGGCACCATTAGATTGTTTATTTGGTTGCCATGGATACCTATATTTCATCTCAACAGGCATTTTGCATAGTTACCTAAATAAAAAGACTTTCTCAAAATATCAAATTTATAAACTAAACTGATATTAATGCTACATTGCTATTTTATGTATTTGAATGATAACACAAACAAAAAATTATCAAGTTTTGGTGTTACTATGCTGTTATGTGCTCTTAGAAACCAGTTGGTAATTTTTTTTGAAACTTTTTCTTAATTCAAAATTTCTTTAAAAAATGAAATAAAAAATTTTAAAACACTCTTAACTATAAAGGTTTACAGGAACAGTTAATTAAATTTTAACTGTGTAGTTTAGATACCCTTAGCAACCATATAAAAATAAGCAAGTTTTTATGCAATTAGAGATACAAAAAATTTTATAACGAATATATAAGAAAACAAACTTTTATATTCATTATTTTATTATGTAAATATTAAATACTTATAAAGTAAACACCATCTTAAACACCAACGAAAATCAAAACTATGTCATTGACACTTAGTCAAAAATTGGAACCTCTTTAAGAAGATCAAAAACTCCATTTGGAAGAGCGTTTTTCTTAGGATGATGGGGTTTTCTCAAACTACTTATCAAAGGGTCAGAAGAACACATTAGTCGCCTTAATAAATCTTCGTTTGTTTTGGAACGCGAACACTTTCTAGAAAATGATTCTCGAAATTTCTTAAAATTTTTATTTTGAGCTTCTTGTGCCTCTTCGCTGAGCATGCCAATAGGCAAAGCCATTCTCTCTACAACTTGCCAACCATGAATAAGAATGTGATGCAGACTCTGTGGCATATGATACCATGGATAAAGGATTACATACTTCTCAGCTGTTTTGTAGCAGTATTCTCTAAATAGTGAAGAATCAATTAGAAAGTTAGATGACAATGTACACAAAATCACATGCAACATCTTTATCATACTGACATAAAGTTCAAGAATTTGAGCAGACTTCTCTGCATTCTGAAAAAATTTTCTAGCAGTGTTTCCATTATTTAAAGACCCAGAGCCACCAGATGTTGGCATATCAATTATCATTCCAACTTCATCACGAAACCTTATCTGGATTTTCTGTTTTCGTTCTTGAACAATTTTCTTTTCAGATATAGTTCTTGTAGCCCACTTTTTCACTGTCAATTTATAACTAATTTTAAGAAGACATTCCATGCTTTTAATCCAAGCATGGAGAGTTGAAAGACCGAAGCAGAGACCTATCTCTGTCAATGGCATATTTTTAGCTGCATTAAGATCATTCATTTTTTTTGGGCTGCATCCACAAACAGAACAACACTGAGAAGATGTAGTTGCTGTAGATAATGCTGTAGCAACTTTGCCGTCCACCATCGTTATTTCAATTTTATGAAGTATTGTTAAGTTTTCACAAAATGTTAAAGACAAATTTGCAATTGAATTGTTAATAAACTGATTCTCTTGTTTCAAAACTTCAATGGTTTTTTTTTTAAATGAAAATCTTATTGGTCTGCAATATAAAGTTGAAGATGGATGTGGATTAGACCAAATTATTATTTTTTTATCATTAATGAATCCAAACAACTGAAGTGGAACAAAACAAGAAATAAACAAACTAGCTTCTTCTAAAAGATCTCTGTTTTCTTTCTCAACTGTTACTTGATTATAAATCCTTTGGCTAGTTGATCCATCAAACCCAACTTTAGAATATAAAGTCAACCTTTCAAGATCATTCATTGAATCAATAACTTGTTTCTGCAACTGTATTAGGCGTATTGCTGTATGATCGACTAATGCTTGAAAGTTTATTTCTGCTGAAAAATCATTTACAGTCCATAATGTTTTTTCAGGAAGACACTGTTCTTTAGCAGCACGAACATCATTGTAAGCAGGATAGAGATTACAACCTTTGCTCAAAGCATTATTTCTCAAGCGTTGGTTATCAGATTTGCTCATATCAATATCTAATATGAGTGCTAGAGCTTCATTTAGAGTGTTTTGAGTATGTTTTGTATCAAAAGGTTGCTTAATAGATAAACTTCGAACTACTTTTGCATTCTTTTTTCTGCTATCTTTAAAAAGATTACAACTACTAGCATACAACAGTTCATTTGATGAACAAGTTAATAAGTCCATAGCTGCTACTTTACGACTCTTTGTCTTATTTGATGAATCATCAAATAATTTTACAGGTCGACCACTATAGATTCAGGTTTATTATCCTGATTTTTAAATGACTTAATAAAGTCTTTTTGAAGCCATACTGAATTATGTTTCATAAAGTTTTCATCAATTCTTTTACTTAAAGACCAACGTTTACGATACTTGGACAAAAAGGTTACAAACTGAGCATCAAATTCAGAACAGTATTCACGAATAAAATTGTAAACATAAAGTTTGTCTTTTTCATTAGACATAGATAAACCATGCTGTCTTATGAATTGATGAATTTGATATCTTGTGATGGTTGACATATTACTAATAATAATATTATTAGACTAAAATAATATAAACATTAAAAAGTTGTATTAACATATATATATATATATATATATATATATATATATATATATATATATATATATATATATATATATATATATATATATATATATATATATATATATATATATATATATATATATATACTTGTTATTTTGCGACAAAAGAAACTTGAAAAAGAAACATCTTTGATTTTATAAAGTATAAGTATTAAAAAGTATTATAAGTATTAAAAAAAGTAGCAGATACTAGCAGCTAAACTAATAATTTTATAAAAACATATACATATAGCCTTCAAAATATGTATAAGAGATAAAGGCAAAATAGAGCACAAATTTTTCCTTGTTGTCTTTTCAAAAAAAATTAAAAAAAAAGTCCAATTTTTACCAAAAAATATATCTAAAACTGGTTTAAAATTTTTTTTTAACTTTTTTTTTTTTTATAAATTTTATATATTAACAATTATTTGATATGTTAATAAAAACAGTTAACCAATATACTAAAAATTTATTACACACTTTTGTTTTTTTAAAAACTACATTTTCTCACTTTATCGCCATTTTTTTTTTGCAAAAATTTTACTTGAAATGAGTTTTTGTTCAGAATATATATTTTTTTAATTTATTGTAATTATTTTTAAGGTCCTCAATGTATCTAAGTAAAAACTTTTTAAAAAGAATTTCAGTTTTCAGACATAAATTTTTTTAGTTTTGTCCACCTACTGGCCCACTGTGCGTTGGTATATGTAATGTTGAATAAGCGTTGTATTATAAATAGCTTAAATTTGTTGAAAAAGCAGTTAATGTCTAGCGTTGATAAACCATAATCTTTGCGACGTTTTTATAGTGGTTATTTGCGTACTTTTATTCAACGTTGAATAAACGCAATTTTTTGCGTAGATAGGATACGTTAAAATTTATACGTTTATTCAACGTTGAAAATGTAAAGTTTAAAAATTGGTTTGTTTTTAACGTTAATAAAGCTTATACTTTAAAATCTTTTTACAGTGGCTTTTTGCGTAAGTTGATTCCACGTTGAATAAAAGTTTTATTTTGAGAAGCTAAATTACGTTGCAATTTCAACGCTTATTCAACGTTTTAATTTACCGCGATTTAGTATACAAAAACAGACATTGATTTAACGTTGAAAGCACGTTGTTTTTGTGACTGTAACGCTTTTTCTACGTTGCGACTGGTTTTTAACGTTGATTCAAC